AAATCCCCCAGCCAGTCCCCATGTTGATTGGTGGAATTTTGAGTGTTGTTGCCCTCAAAAGTTACTTTTTCAGGCTTTACCTAAAATACAGTTAATAGTACTATGGCACTTAAAAGTTAGTAGACACTATTGCAATGGCTCTTTGACACTGAATAGAATCTTGTGTGTAGAGGCCAGAAATTCTGACAAGTAAGAGAGAAAGCTGCCATGGCCTTCAGATAAAAGCTGTGGGATTTTTGGGAGCATTTGGTTGGCCTGTTGGAAACAGGAAATCATATTGGATGAACTTTCAGCCTGATTTAGGAAGGCTTTTTCTTGTTGTTCTTCTGTGAGCTCTCTGAAGTAGAGGAGCTATACATCAAGGGCCATATAGTAGAACAAACACTGATAGTTTTCTGATGATTAAGCAGATACTACCTAGATTATCATATCACATTTTCCTTAGGAACATAAGAAGCTGCCTTTTAACAAGTTAGGTAGATCTTGAGCTATATATCTGTAATTTACTGACTGGCAGTGGCTCTTCAGTTTTTCAAACATGTGGCTTCCCCAATCCTAAAGATGCTGGAAAATCTATACCTAGGGGCCTTTTGAATTCAAAGCTTATAGTCTGCTACTGCAGTCCCTTTTCTGGGTATTAACTATGACCTCTAACAGCATAAATGCATAGAATTTTGTTCATTTTTTTGCTTTTGACTTGGGGGGGTGATATGAGGAACAAGTGGAACATGTGATAACTGTTCATTAATCAGGGAGAAGGTAAAGAGTTTCTGCTTTCTAATTTTTTTTGAAGAAGGGAAACACATTTTGATCAGAGTTCTTCCTCCCATCTGATGCTGTAATTGTCATTCCATGCCTCTTAGCCCACAGGCCTGAATTGGAGCATCTGATAACTGAGACTAGATTTCATTCTTAGTCATAGCCTGGAATCATTTCCAGCTCTCAGGAACTGGCAGCTAGAAAGACCAACCGAATTCTGGCTTCATTTTTCCACACTATTGGACCTTTCTAATATAGCCTAATTCAAACCTGTTTTATTTTACTGTATTTCCCCATCCCCCACACACCTTTCTGCTGTGCCTGCTATGTTCAGAGTAGTTTAAAATATCAGAAATAACAGAATAAGCAATGAATAGTATTAACTTAAGCAAAATTATAAAGCAAAAACAATAACAGCAGATTAAAAATGAAATCTAAAAATAAATTTTGATTTGATGAAGATGTATTGCAGTGTAAACAACAAAAATTCCTGTGGCACTTTTAAAAACAAGGTTTTTTTTGGCCTGTATTGTCATGGACTGCAGTCTGTTTCTTCATCTTACATTTGGTGAAGTAGGCTGGAATCCACAAACACTTATGCCCACTAACACTGGCTAGTTTTTTAAAGTTTCACAAGGCCTGTCATTGTTTGACTCTTAAAATGAGAAACTTACAAAGCAAAACCTAATCCTGTCAGATTAAATCAATGCTTGGAAACATGATATTTTGGGATTACAACTCCCTGCACTTCCTAGTGGTCATGATGAGTGGGAGATTCTGGGAGTTTTAGTTGTGAAAAAGTAATGTTTCCTAGCTTGGGTTCAATGCCTGTCTACAGCTTGTCTAATTGGAAGAAAACAGGTAGGAAGGGAAAATGAAGAATAAACTGTTAGGCAGATTCTAGATGATGGTTTGAGTCTGGTGGTGGCATCTTAAAATGTACTTCTTATTTCAATCATTTCTCAGGTCTTGAACCAGGGACAGAATACATCATCCACATAATTGCCGTGAAGAATAATCAGAAGAGTGAACCATTGATTGGAAGGAAAAGAACAGGTAACACTATCTTAGACTGTCCACTTAGTTAGGAGTGAGACCCATGAAACTAATGGAGCCTTATTTTGTAGTAGACAGGCTGTAGGATTTGCTGTTCCTCTTTAGGTACAGATGCTAAAGGTGCCTGTGGAGGAAAACTCGACTCTTATCTGACAAGACTCGTCATAGGAACTTTCTTTGTTCCTATCCAGAGGCAATATGTTCAGTGCAGAGATCCTTCTGTTCAGCATATGTTGCATCTGCAGAGTCTCGTCCGACAGAGCTGTTTAGGGTAGTAGGGGAACTGACATGGGTTCCTCCTGCGCAGAACCCCTTGCTTCACCCGACAACAGCCTGTTGTGACACTCCTTTGCAGATACAATCTCTCAGATAAGAGCCGACTTAGATGCCAGTATTGATACAGAATCTGTTGACGAGGTGTCCAGCAACTCCGTTACTGAGATTTTACTGGATCAGTTTCAATCTGTAAGTACCAATGACATGGACAAGCTCCTTGGTAGTGTGAGGAAGACTACTTGCCCTCTCGATCCTTGCCCTTCATAGTTGGCTGTTCAGGGTGGGGATGCGCTGAAAATGTTCCTTAAGGACATAATCAACACATCCCTCAGGGAGGGCTTTGTTCCATCTTGTTTAAAGGAAGTGGAGGTGAAGCCACTTCTAAAAAAGCCCTCCCTAGACCCCTTGGATATAAATAACTACAGGCCTGTTTCACTTTTACCATTTTTGAGCAAAGTGATCGAGAGGGCAGTGGCTTTTCAACTCCAAGTTGTCTTGGATGAAACCGATTATTTAGATCCATTTCAAACCAGCTTTAGGACTGGGTTTGGAGTTGAGACTGCCATGGTTGCCTTGACTGACGACATGCATTTGAGCATCGACAGCGGTAGTGTGACCCTGCTGGTGCTCTTAGATCTCCCAGCGGCTTTTGATACAATCGATCACAGCATCCTCTTGGATCACCTGAGGAGGTTGGGAATCAGAGGCTCTGCTTTGCAGTGGTTCCATTCCTTCCTCTTGGGTAGATCTCAGAGGGTGCTGTTTGGGGACAGTAGCTCTGCCAGGAAGGAGCTTAAATGTGGCATCCCACAAGGCGCCATACTGTCCCCGATGTTATTTAATAGCTATATAAAGCTGCTGGGAGAGATTATTCGGAGACATGGGGCTGGGTGTTATCAGTATGCTGATGACACTCAGATATACTTCTCCATGTCCCGGTCGTCAGCCTCGACTTCGGATGGCGTCTCTCCTCTTAACAACTGTCTTAGGCTGGTAATGGACTGGATGAGGAAAAACAGATTGAAGCTGAATCCAGAGGTACTCACAGTGGCGGCCCCGAAACCAGGTATTGGGATGCAACCTCCAGTGATCACGCTTACCCCGAAGGACTGTGTTCGCAGTTTGGGGGTGCTCCTTGACTCGTTGCTTCACATGATTAATCAGGTGAATGTGACGGTCAGGAGTGCCTGTTATCAGCTTTGGCTATGCCAGCTGCGCCCTTTCCTGGAAGTAAGGGACCTTGAATCTGTGGTACATGCTCTGGTAACCTCCCATCTAGACTTCTGTAATGCGCTGTACATGGGGCTATCCTCGCGCTTGGTCCAGAAATTAGTTCAGAATATGGCAGCCAGGTTGGTCTCTGGTACATCTAGAAGAGACCATATTATACTGGTCTTGAAAAGACTCCACTGGCTGCTGATCAGTTTCCGGGCCCAGTACAAGGTGTTGGTTATCACCTTTAAAGCCCTAGATGGCTTGGGTCCACCCTATCTTCGAGACCATCTCCTTCCGTATAATCCTACCCACACATTACAGTCTTCTGGGAGGAATTTGCTTCAACCTGTTCGGACTAGACTGTCGACAACCTCCCAGAGGGCTTTTTCGGAAACCACTCCCAGATTATGGAATGGCCTGCCGGATGAGATCTGTCAAATTACAACCTAGACAGCTTTTAAAAGACTGTCAAGATGGATCTCTTCTGGCAGGCCTTTCCTGATTAATTCCCGGACAGGGGAAAGTAAATCTCCCCCCACCTGCTGCCACATCTCACCACGCTATTTAGTGCTTGCGGGCTGCCTATTAAATTGGTCTTAATATTTACCGATGTAAATTACAATCATTGTTTACTGTTGTTAATTTGTTTTAATTTCATAATGTTTAATACTGTTTTAAGGGGAGGGTGGGTTTGGGTTTGGAAAGGTTTATTGTGAGATTTTATTGTTGTAAGCTGTCCCGATTGCTTCGGTAGAGGGGCAGGATAGAAATAAATGTTGTTGTTGTTGTTGTTGTTGTTGTTGTTATGTTTTGGACTTCAGTTAATTCTGATGCTAAACAGTTAATCTTATGGCACCACTTGAAACCTCTTTTGTCTTTTATCAATTGTATAGTTGAGCATAGGTGGATATACCTGTCACTCTTTCTATGTTTGACAACCCTTATTTAAATAAGTTAGTTTATGCAAGCTATAAAAGACTCCTGACCTGCAAAATTTGGATACAATTTAATGGCTTTGGCTGGGATTGACATAAATTTGCTTACATTTCTGCTCTGGTGTATTTTGTATTTTGACAGTGACTGTATTATGGCGCTTGCTAGCTTCTCAGTTAATTATAAACTATCATATAAATCAGACCAGAACAATATTTACAGTGCATGTTTATTTTGTATTAAGCTTTGTTGTGTTCTCTGGCACTTACTCCCAGGTATATAGCATCCCAGCTCATTTATGTAATTGAAACTTGTTTCATTCTGCTGAATTAGTTTAATCTAACAGCATTTAATTTGGCCTGGAATATATCTTTGCTTTTGGTGGATTCAGAATGAGGAGCCTAAATTGACTGATTCATATCAGTGGATGCCTAAGGATTTAGGTTATACCTGATCTGGATCCATGATCTGAATTCTGTTGGTTAGGCACAATTACAATAGCTCCTTTGAACCAATTGTTAAATTATGAGTTAATATGGAGAGCGCAGTGGTTAAATGCCTGTACTGCAGCCACTCACACATAGACCACAAGGTTGTGAGTTCAATACCAGCCAGGGCTGAGGCTCGACTCAGGCCTGCATCCTTCCGAGGTCGCTAAAATGAGTACCCAGATTGCTGGGGGGCAATCAGCTCACAGTTGTAAACCGCTTAGACATCCCATGTGCGATATGAAGCGGTATATAAATGAAGCTGCTTTGCTTTGCTTTTTAGCGTAGTGGTTTGAGTGCTGGATTACAACTCTGGAGGCCAGGGTTCGATTCCCCAGTCAACCATGGAAACCCACTGGGTGACCTTGGGCAAGTCACACTCTCTCAGCCTCAGAGGAAGGCAATGGCAAACCCTCTCTGACCAAATCTTGCCAAGAAAACTCTGTGATAGGTTTGTCTTAGGGTTGCTTTAAGTCAGAAATTACTTGAAGGCACACAATAAACCCTATTGGTTCAATGGATCTACTCTAAATTGGTACTAACAGTGGGATTTGGGCCCATGTTTGCTTACTTGCTACTTTTTTTTCATGATTCATCCTCCAGAGAAAATGGGTATTTGATGGAGCATATCAGGAGTGAGAAGCATGATTGGGGATGGGGGGGAAAGGAAAGAGAATCTCACTTCATACAGCACTGGCCATGATAAGTATTATTCAGTGCTGGTCCCTGAGACATTGGCTGCCAGTCCACAGCAAGTTTCCAGGAAAGAAAGAACCAATTGTACCCAATGAGCACAAATTTAGTGCTGGCCCCTGCAACATTGTAAAACAGGAATTGCTAGTCTGCTCCATCAGATATCCGGAGAAGCGTTGGCTCATATGACATCAGGGGGCATATTTGTGCCTCTGTTGAAATCTGTTCTGTGTCCTCCCTGGAAGGAAAGAGTGTGTGAAGCTACCCTGTCCCATGTGGTAATTGCAGGGAGCACAGGGAAGACCAAGTTACCTTCCCACTGTTTCTTTTACTCAGTTCCCCTTGATATTTTGGAAGACTAGCAGCACATGGGTGAATCCCCCTAGACTGGGGTGTGTGGCTGCATGGGAGCTTTCATGGAGGGAGATAGGGGATTGTGGGAGTTTTTGTAGAGTAGATGGGGACTGTCCCTAAGCCAAATTACAGCCATGAGCTGATGAATCTTCTTCATGTCCCCATGATAAGGGAGAATTGAGGGATTTATTATCCCAATATAATAGATCTTATCAATAGGCTGAAGATGTAAGGCAATATTTCTCCCTTCTAGCTGAAATTCAGCTTCAGGGCAACAGAACAGAGCTGTAGGGTATCTAAATATAAATCTATTTCTCTATATCCAAATGTAACAGAAGATAAACATTTGTGGCAATCGGGTTCCTTCACAGATAAGAGATTTTGAAGGGGTCTCAGAGGCACCATGGTTGTCATAGCCACATGCTTTTGCCTCCCTGTTCAAGTGCTCTAAGTAGCCCCCGTAGAGTAATTGCAATAAGTCTTTCTGGGAGCATGTAGCACCCTTGAGAATGATGCTAACATTTAATTGCTTGAATTAAGCAGTGTTTTATGGTGCAGCTGCCTCGTTTACTTGTGTAATGAATGCAGTGATTGCAGCTTCTGGCTTCATGGCTTCTAACCTCTCTTTGGCTAGATGAGCTTCCCCGGCTGGTAACATTTCCACTCCCCGGCCCAGGTACACCAGAGATCCTAGATGTGCCCTCTGAGAACACACCTTACTTCACAAACAACCCCTATGACAATGGAAATGGTATCAAACTTCCAGGCACTTCTGGTCAGCACCCTACAGTGACCAACCCTGGCCAAGTCATCGTGGAAGTGTACGGATCTCGGACTCCCACAACTGCAGCCACTCCATCACAGCGTAGAACAAATGAAGAGCCTGTGGTAGTGAACCGTTATCCAGTGCAGATACCAGAAGTGGACAGGCCTTCTTACCCTCACACCCTTCTGCCTAAGAATAACCGCACAAGGCCTCAAGAAGCACTTTCTGAGACCACCATCTCATGGACCCCCTTTTTAGAGAGTTCTGAATACGTCATTTCTTGTCAGCCTGTTGGCTCTGAAGAAGAACCTACAGAGGTAACTTCCATTTGACTTTCTCCCCCAAACAATTTATAATAGTGAAACAGATTAATTTCATTATTATACATGCTGATTTGACTTAGGGTATGTCTACAGCAGTCAATCTAGGGCCAGTCCAGAGCATTATGTCCTGGGCTGGCCCTGGACTGACTGAAATTATGACCACATGCACCGGGATGAATCTGGTGTGATCTACATCATTGTGCACACGGACCAGCTGGGCCAACTCTGCATCTGTTGTGGCCTCACCAGCCAAGCAACTCTCTGCTAGAACATGGCCATTGTTGTCACTTCTGCTGAAGTCAGAATGGGGTGCCCTACCATATGCTCAACAAGAAGTGGGGGGCAGGTGCTTTACCTCTGCCTCATTGATCACACAGGTGCCCTGTTTTGACCTCAGCAGAAGTAACAGCATGCCGGACAGGCTTTACACAAAGCTCATGCCCATGAAGAAGTGATGGCTCCAAAAACAGTCCATACCCTTTCCCTGCACTGCTCAACATAGGGAAGGGGGATGGTGCAACTCTTGGTTTGTGGACAACTGGATTGGGCCTTATTGGACCTGATCCAGCTGTCCACACACACAACAAACTTGAGATCACTCTGGGGTTTCCAGGAAACACTGGAGTTTCCTCTGGCTGCTTAGTTCATGACAAAGCCAGGATAAGGATAAACAAACAAACCAAGATCCTCCCTAGAAGTAGCCGTACAATGGTGAGGACTGCCAGGACTGGCTTTGGGGGGAGTGTGGCCATTTTCACCGGTTTAGACAAGCCCTTAATCAACAGTGTCAGATTCAGTGATATCCCCAAGGAGTTTATGACCTGAAACAAAGTGGGAAAAGAAAAGGGAGAATGGCAGAGTATATATGTGTATTACTAAATATGATTGCTAAATGTGACCATTGAAGCTTCCTGAGCTTAAATTTTAGTTGCTTTTGGGAATGAGAATTAAGGGGGGAAAGGCAAAGTCCATATGATTCAAGTGGGATTTGAGAATGGAGAAGAAGGAAGGGAAAGGTAATCTTTTTAAGTCAAAAGAGAGTGGTTGGAGTAATATAAGGAAGCAGGAGGCTGGAGAAGGTAGAGGCAGATGATCCTCAGGAAAAAAACAAGTATGTAACAAGTTAGGATTGTGATACAGACCAAAAATACAGTGGGCCCTTCTCATCCATGGGGTTTGGTTCTGGGCTCTTGTGCAGATGGGAAAACCACAGGAGCTCAAGTCCATATTAATCACCTTTCAATTAGCTAATATGCCATTTGCTGGGGTGATCCACTGGAGCTGCATTCTGGATAGCTAACTTGCTGGCATGGCAAACTCATTGTATAGGATGAGGTAAGTCAGTGAAAGCCTTCTGAAGTAAGGATTTTTGTAGGCATATGAAGAGGGCATCATAAAAGGGAGGGACAAAGTTAACTACGGTAGTTTGGCAGCACAGTTTTTGAAGTGAGGACTGAGGAGTGAAAAGCAAATGCCAGACAAGGCAACTGCAAACCTGAAGGTTAAAAACAATTAGAGTAGAAACCATAATTTTGACAGAGAAATGGCAGAGTAGTTTTTACAGTGTGATACAGGAAGTCTGAACAGTCTTATAAGGCCAAGATCTCCCAACATTTACTTGAGCAGCAGAGGAAGACACACCCAGTGGCATCTCCCCACCTTGATGATGACATCAAAACATGGGCCAAGCAGTAACATAGTTTCCCTTGACCCAACCTGTTCTTGAATGTGGAGCAAATCCAGCTGGCCACATCCTACTAGTTACATAGGGAAATAGAGACGGACTTTCAGGAGCAGATGTGGGGTAAATCCCATAGTTGCAAAACATTTCTCTCTCTCTCTCTCTCTCATACTCTCTATTTCATTTGTGTAAAAAGGAGCTACCTCTGGATTGCATTGTGCATGCATGTCCACACACACATGATAACCCTGCTCTAGGGAATATGGTGGCTATAAAAATACTTTAGAGGTAGCTTTGTGCTTTTTACAAAGCAAAAGATACCCTTTCTTTTAATGCTTTGAATTTTCTCACCCTGTAGGTCAAAGTTCCTAACACGTATTCTAGTGCTACTCTCACAGGCCTTACAAGAGGTGCCACCTACAACATCATAGTGGAGGCAATAAAAAATCGTAGAAGGCATAAAGTTCTTGAAGAAGTAGTCACAGTAGGCAATTCTGGTGAGTAAATGCAAAACTTGGGATTCTTGGGAAATAATTTGTAATCCATGGTTTATTGTGTTGGCTATTACATTTATAACCAGCCATTCCTTCATGGTGCTGGGGTGCCATATTTGCATTATGCATGCACAGAAACAAACATGTGAGGTGGACAAGCTTAAAAAACATTTTTCTAGACTATATGCTAGCTAAGGGATTCTGGGAATTTCAGTCCAAAAGGTTTTTGAAGCTTTGGACAGATTATTGGTCCAAATCACTATCATGTCCCAGTGGGGGTTAGACCCCAGACTTTTTTAAACATTTTCACCACACTTCCTCTCTAGATCTTCATATTACATATATTGTTATGTGGTAGTCCTGTTGGAAGATAAGAACTGAAATCCCTTGAAGTTAGTGGGATGTACAGCTCTGCCTCTGATTCTGGCAATAATGTATTTATAGAGGGCAAGAGCACTCAGTGGCCATTTAGAGTTCAGGTCAGAGCTGCAGCCTGATGCTGTTCCATTGCCTCTGTGCAACTGAGGGAGGGGGGATTGCACAAGAAGGTACTAAATACTTCCTTATGCAACATCCAAAATAGGATTCATGCTTCCATAACTTCTGATGTTGATAGTATAAGTCACCAATAGGATTCTAACCTCAGGGTTCAATCTTACATACAAGTCCCATGGTAGGAAGAAATGTTATTTGAAGGAGGTGCTCTGGAAATTTTTATACTATGGCCACTCTCTCTGTGGAATGGGCAAGCTGTATTGAAAAGAAAAGTCCTAGTGGAAACTTTTCAGGGAAAAGAATGTGTGCTTTGCTGATCACAGTTGTGATCAGATGTGTAGAAAGCTCTTTCTTTGGCCCTGCTCATTACACCCACAGTGAATGTTAGCATGCATGATTACTCTTACTAAATCCAATGGTTTCTCCCAAGTAAGTAAATCTTGAAATGAAGCTGAATGGTTCTTTTGGTGACCAGGAACTGAATGTTTGTCCTCTACACACACACAGTGTAATAATTCTCCACAACTGGAAAAAAAAAAA